GACTACTTATGGTTAAAAAAAAGACGTTAGATAATAGTATTTGACTGATCGGTTCAAAGACAAGCAAAAAATAATTACCAAAAAAAAATGGACTGCACTCATATATACTCAACAAAAAAAGAAAGGTTAACATGTTTCCTTGGCGAATACCTGTAAATTAGTGAAACCAGGCTTGTTGTGTTAAATGGCAATTTAACCGGCATTCGATATCGGGACGAAACTTTAAGACCAGTGGTTCTGCCATTCTTAAGACGCCATGGCGTTGGCGCTATTTTTCAACAGGATAACGCACCAGCGCACACCAGTCGCGTCAGCAGAACTTTCTTGCAGCAAAATAACGTACAGGTGTTAGATTGGCCATCTAAATCACCTGATTTGTCACCGATTGAGTTGTCTGGAATGTTCTTGGGCGACGCGTGAGAGAACGTCAAAATCAGCCGTCAAACTTGCAGGAGCTGGCCCAAGCCTTGATCGCTGAATAGAACAACATATATTCGCAAACAGTGGCCATACCCCCTACTAATGGTGTTACCTTTGAAATTGACCCCAAAGTTCTTTACAGTCGAATAAAATCAACTGAACGCAAAGTTTTATAATGAACCATGACTGCAGTTTTATCAGAATTGATCAATTACTTTATTCGTTCATGATTTGTAAGGATTTATGAAGGGGTTAATTAATTAATCACTGAATAAAGTAGTGTTACATTTCTTTTTTTGTTTAGTACACATAGCAGCAAGGGACTTAATTTTCATTCATAACATTTTAAGCGATTTATTCGTATTAATCATGGTGTTTTGATGTATAATTCATTATATAAAGTCCGACAAAAATTGTTTTCACACATACATTTGGCAATTAGGTTTACCAGGTGTAAAAACAATAACGAAGAATTATGAGTCTATTCCACACTGTATCTAAATTATGACATTTCTATACAAAACTTTGAATATTTCTCTGTTGCCTTCTAAGCTTTCACATTTAGACCTATATCACCATAAACGTCGTCTGAAGTTCCAGTTCAGTTGATGGTTTGGCCCAGATTTGTCTGACTCTAAATTTGCGGAGCATTGAAAAGATATGCAATGTATTCTAATTGATCACAATTATTCTTATCATGATTTTAAGCTAGATACATCCGGCATTTGATACACGATGTCTGCGAGGAAGTACTTTGACCACTGTTTAAGGGAACATATCAAATATTTTTGATCACTGTATGTTTCATAATCCTCATTTAATATGCCAATGTACCTTACAAATGATGAATGGTGTCGGTCATTTTAACATAACTCAAACTATCTCCCTTGGTACTATGCTTTGTCAAGGCATTTATGTATTTATCTATTAGTTTATCTTTAAATACTATTCGTTATCCATACAACTGACGAAATAACAACAACGGATATACCGAAATATCGATAACACCAAAATCCAGCATCTTAAGTAAAAACTAGGATATTGATACACTCGGCAGATTGGTCCAACCTCTATGTATGTCTTGTTTCCTTTAGTTTTAGTCTACAGTACTAATTACCCTCATTAAGTGTTTCCGGACGTTGTGTAAACGTAGGTTAAAATTCTGTTTGTCACATCATTCTTGAAAATATTTCTCACTAGTATTAAAGGAATGTTGAAGTAGTCCAGCGTAACCTTTTTTTAATTATTTCATTATATTTTGCTGTATTGTGATATTTCTGTATTTGTACACATTTCGCTAATATTGTCTTTTAATTTGGTGTGACGTGGTAAAAGATATGTCAGTTAAGTATTCTCAAATATGTTTTTTTGCAATTGATTCAAGTTTAATTTCCATTGAAATGATATCTGTTTTTATATATTTTTACAATTTTATTTCAGTTTCTGCCAATTACTAAATAGACCAATTCAATGATATCGAAGAAAATTTTACAACAAAAACATTTTTTGAGATTTGATTTAAATACATGTTCTTAAATTCAATCAGCTCTGTCCATCCATTATTCTTAACTTAATTACAGTAACAAGCCTAATGTGGTATTCATGTATGTGTAACCAATAGCGATACATTAAAATAAATTGCTTATTTCAGTTGAATGCCAAGTACTCCCTGTCTCTATATCTTACCTCTTGAAAACTTGAAAAACAGCGTTACAAGTCCCTTCCCTCGGACTAATGTTAGTATGTAGTGGTTAGATCGTTGCTTGAAATATAATCAACATAACATTTCTGGTTGTTCCATCTTGAATCATTTCTAGACATTCGACTGAATTACTTGACCGCTTATATCAATTGCATTTTGGTTATTAACTCCACACATATTGCGTATATCTACACACTATTCTAACTTTGTTAAATAGATATATATGTTAATATTCATGTTATCCTGTCAAAGAGTTTATAACTGTACTACAGGTAAAAATTGACTTTTACGCCATCGACCAATCCACGAAGCAATCAGTGTCACTCCATTTTTAGGTTATTAATCATCTTCTCAGGCTCGTGTGTTCTCACTTTACATTATGAACATCACCAAAAACGATACAATTAAAATTATATTATTAAGTTGTGTTCTGATTTATCGCAAACAACCGGAGAAATGTATCTAAAGAAATTATGTAAGTAGGGATCAAGGCTCTTGGAATTTGGTTACAGCTGTAGGATACTTTGAAATTTCTTCAAAACTCACATCTAGCACTGACCAAAGATCAAGGTTTTTGTGAAATGAAAACAATATGATTAAATTCACGTGGCAAGTGAACTGTTATAGTGTATTGTTATAACAAACGCTGAAAAGTCTTAGATTATACTTAAAAGTCAAAACATAATGATTGATCATTTAAAACTAATTACTAAATACTAGATGTTTCTAAATCCGTACGGTATCTTAAGATTTTTGATCAGAATGTGACGTTTAAAATGGATTATTAAAACGGTGTTATATCTTCATATTTTAGAATGTCAGATATTTTTTTAGATATTATAAGTTGTACATTAATACTCTCTCATATTGTTGAAGGTGCTAGTTGTAAATCAAGATGAAAGAGGTATAACACACTTTGGTTCTTTTATTTCTATTCAGAATCATTAAGGCATCAAATAAATGTCATACATAAAATATTTCATCTAGATAAACATGCGTCTGTTCTTTACAGAAATGTTAGTAAACAGTGCTACCAATATGTTTTGGTTGTCCCGTATCGAATCCTTTCTAGATATTCGACTGCATAATTTGGCCACATAACATATGCCAATTGCTTTCTGATAATCCATCCCACACATACTACATACATCTATTATCTGTTGTGACTTTGAATAATGCTTTATATAGTTATGAATGTTGTCAATTGTTACAAGTTATATCTATAATAAGTATAAAAGTATATATCCTGTCACCTTGATCAATCCAGTGAGCAATTCCATTGTAAGGTATTGATTCCCCTTCTCAGTCTTGTATGTTCAAATTGTACATAATGTATATCCCTTATACCTGAGCCACTCTAACACATATAAGTAAAACCCGGGAGCTTCAATAAGATCAATTATATGTTACCTTCATCAAATCACATATACTGAGCCCCATAAAAAGTACATTTTTAGTTATGATATATTGTATACTACTTTTAATATCAATGGTATATATTGTGAGTGCAAAAGATAAAATGACGTGCTTTTTGTTCACTCTCTACATTGTTCACATCGACACATGAGCAATGCTAAAAATCATGAATTCTGCTTGTGCAATCACGGTTGTTGCTAATACAGGTTGAGACATGGCCTTAATAAAGTAGCCCGTCCCAAACAATTGTTGGACGTTTGCTGGACGCTTCCAGTATACGGGTTTTGTTTTTGTTGACTGTATCAATGTTCAATGGCGGACATTGTTATTATTGTAATTTTCTTTTCATGGGGTACCTTCATTAAATAGACAATAGAGATTAATTTGTTTAAATGCAATTTTAACAACCTGTTGACTAAATCAATAAATAACCAAAAAAACGCATTTTAGGTCGGACCCATTATATGTTAAGACAATGAGAGATCCCAGAGGGATTTTGGCGCCAAGCATTGTCCTATCTTTATATCCTCTGTGTTTTTGCTCATAATGATTTGGAAATATAAATAAATGTTGAAAGTTCTATCAATGACTTGTCCACATTTCATTTCATTTTCTTATTGTGTTTGGTACTTAACAATTATTAACAAAAATACAATAAATCTCGAAGTTGTCACCTAAACATCAACAGTAAAATATGTGTAATGACAATAAAAAATTGTTCCCTTCGACTTTCCCTCATTTTACTGTCGTTATGTTACATTTGTGTTTGAAGCCCAATGCAGCTGTTCTATGTAGAAAGCACTAACACTAAAAACGACAGAAAAAAGACCCAACATTTGAATTGTATTACTGTATAATAAGAAATGCTCAGATGATTTGTATATAATTGAAAAAAAAAGGAATTAAAGAAATTTAGGCTATCATATTCAACATGCAGTTAATAACACATGTAGATTAAAAGATATTTTGAGAGTTACTAATAATGATTATAAAAAATGTAACTGGAATATATGATAACGATGAATATTTGAAATTCACTTTGTGTAAGGCTTGCATTCTTCGATCTTCGAAACTTCAATAGTTTGAAATCTTTACCTTCTGCATTCAATGATCGGGACTATTCAAGACTTACATTGAATTGCAGAACATTTAATTTCAATAATGGCATTATAAGCTTATGATTCCAGTTAATGATAATTAGTGGCGTTCCTTAACACCTTGATCAGATACATAATTGGAATTATTGACATCTTGGATCAACACGGTAATGCTTATCATTTATCTCACATTAGGTATACACTGAACTGGAGAACAATCATGCAATCGAGGAAACTGTTATTTTTTGGTAATTCCACGCATTTCCCGCTCATACAGGATGTAACTCTTACATTACAGAAACATCATAACCGTATGACAGTTAACTTTACTAATAAATGTTAATTCTTATCGCCCGGTGTCGGGCATGCAAGAAACGCAGCTGGATGTATCCGACGATCCTGCCGCGGTCCTCATGCGATCACGCCGTGATATTCAACTTACCTCTACTGTGGAAGAGTATGTCGTGATATTGGTATGTTTGTACGATGGACATTGCCATTACACGTCTCGTTATTTAAGGAAAAGATGCCACCAATTTATCTGAAACATGATTTGAGCAAAGGACACACTTCCCATATGTATCGTATAAATATGCAATTTAAATGATTACCGAAACATGATTATCTAATTTTTCTTCTTCTTTTGGAATGTTGCATACAGAAAATGTGTGTCTGTTTGTAGGGAAGTGTCAAGTTGATGATTAAGCTTACAGCCATAACAAACATACCTGTCACGCAAATCGTAAAGTGTAGATTTAAAATCAGTGTCGAGGAAAGTATACGTGTATTTTCTGTTCATTCATTTAACGAGACGTGTAATGGCAATGTCCATCGTACAAACACTCTGAAAGTGATAAAGGCATATATTTCAAAGTATCTTGAAATTCATATTCCAAATAACGGACGAGGTTTCACGATATTTAGGAACTTTTGTTTCCTAAACCCACAACTGCTATCTACATGCGAGCGTCTTTGAAATAGCCTTTATACTTCGAAAGGGATGGGTATCATGATGTTGAGTCAAAATTATGATAAGTTGAGGTGATAGCATTATAAAGGCATACGTTAGTGTACATGCTATCAGTGAACACCGTTTAAGAATGCCCTAAACTGAAGCGACGGCCTAAACCTAAACAATGTTCTTGATCAAATTGATACTCTTATATGTTATATCGTTAACTGCTCTACATTATTCTTCACAAAAGTGAAAGGAGAATGGACAGAGCAAGAAAACCATGTTTGCTTTTAAATACTGACATACATGATATGCAGTATATATATATATATTATATATATTACTTTTTAAACCGATGTGTGACTAGATATTCAATATAAAAACCTTGATTTTGATGAAAATATATATCCCAGGTTGCCAGTAAATGACAAATCTTTAACATTTTGAGGTAATGATTATTATTAATAATTTACTTGAAAATAACCGCTTTACACACTTTTGCCATCAATCCTACAATCTGCAGTCGGCATTTAGAATCTCCATGTCGTTTTTTTTAATAATCACTCTTAAATGCCTACAAACAAGGTTTGAAACTTTACACATGTCTTGTGAGTACACCTGAAACCATTGTGATGGCTTTCTGGTAATCGAAGCCGATCTAATTATAGTTAGGTATTGTTATGTTGTTGTGATTGATGTAGCGAACTAAATTACCTGTTAGCCTTATCAGTATTTATTTGTTTAGTAGGCTTTAGTAAATTGGCTAATCATTCGGGAATTGCGAAAAAAAGTTGTTTGTATTAGGTTTATTACATTCCAGGAATAGACATGTACATGGTTCATGGTTTCAGTTACATCACATTTTTTCATTATGCTAATAATGTTTGATTCTCCGTTGCCCTAATCTGATAATCAGGTCATTATGACTTATAACCATATCATTTGTTCAGTGGTTCTGATATGACTGTTCGTAGGTTGTTACCTATTAGAGCATTCCCCTATCAATGTTTCTTCTATTAGTATATTCATGATTGAACATATGTTCTAGAAATATATACAATGGATTTGGTCGCGATGCAGTGTTTTATTTAACATGATTGTTTGCTTTTTTCAAGGTATACTTACAGTTGTTGGTATATATACCAAGGTAATTTGGATGCACTGTATTCTGAATAAACACAGAGACTATAGAACAAGTGATTGTCGGCCTTTTGATGTTTCTGGTTCGTACCTGCTGTAAGGATGGACTCATCACAATATTTTTGTATCCAAGAGTCTTTGTGTTAAACAGTTAAATGTATTGTTATCAATTCAAAAGTGTAAGCTGGATGTTTTATCTGTCCATATAACTGGTATTAAACAGTTTTCTGATGAGTAAATGCTTCGGTCTACATTACTGAGTTACTGAGTGCCTGTAACCAATAGTATGGTGTTTGATATCAACCTTCAATGACCATTTACGTGATAAAACGTAGTCCACTCTTGTAAAATAACCTAAGATAGGTAGTCAAGTCTTATATATATGGAATATATCACATGTTTATACATATTACGGGTTTATTTATTATGGGACCAATGGTTCGTTCTAAAGAATGCAATTCCTGTAAATAGAAAACACAACAAAATAAAACCCGTGGTAGATATAAAGCGTTTAGTGTATCAATATTACACGATATTCACTTGTGTCTGTATTAATTTGACAACGTAATGCGACACCAATTGGTTGACATAAAACAAATCACAGCACAGTATCGGCAGTATGTTCGGCGGTACATAAGCATCGAACAAAGACTTATTCTTGTAGTAATTTGCTTCTTCATGCAAAAGTAACCGACCAGTTTCTTAATTATGCTATGTTATTTAACAATTATAAAATTCAAATTTTGCGCCTGTGATCTGTTATTTTTAGCCAGTGCGCGATGGTAAATACAAGAAATATGCTTACATTAACTAGATTGCCAGTGCGATCTCCGCCTTTTCCAACATTTCCGCTTTACAGCTAGGGAAATTGGGAAGGTCGGAGGGAAATACTTTTCAAATCGCTCTGCGTCAGTGGTCCGTTATATTGATATTTTCATAAGGAAGTATAGATTCTTAACTTGTATCTAATTAAAGGTAAGTTTCATTTGACAATTTCCTTTGCTACTTTTTCTTACACCGCCGACTTCATTGTCGCATTTAAATACACAATATAGTAGTGTATATCCTGAACTTTAACCATGTCAGTAACAGGTGTGTGATATGCAAGTGTTCGCAATTCAATTATGTTTTAGGAGTTCTTAAGTTTCATTGACTATGATAATACTATATTTACTTTATTGTTATACTATTATCTTAAATTGCTTTATGCTTGTACATATTCTAAACATGTAACACTGATTATATGAATTTCTTTTTACCAGAATTTAGATTTCAGCAATTTTTTTTTTTTTTTTTTTTTGCTTTATTAATGACTGATTGCTGATTTAGCCCACGCATTTAAAGATAAGTAGTCGTCAGTTGATGTACATTCAAATCAAAGGTTTAAGAGGAATGCATATGGATTGGTATGATAGGGTTTATGGCCGTCATAATAATTTCATTGCAAAGTAATCTATTTCCTTGCGTGATGAGAAAGTTGAAATAGTTTATGTCCGTTCGTATTCATGGATACAAACAATTGTGATATCGAAAATAGCGGTCGGTTGGCTGAAGTAGACCTGATATATGACCAATATTTTGTAAATATAGAGGGCGTATGGCAAAAAAGAATGAATCTAAATATTATTTTATTTGAAACTTGGGTTATATTTGGTTGCTAGGTTCAATTAATGTAAATGTGTTTCTGCGTATGTAGCAATATTGTAGGGAAATGGTGTGTAAAAATGGTGAAATCAAGCAATGACATTGCGTGATTCATTTTTTTCACTATGAAAATATGGCCGTTTTTTTAATCTCCTTATCCCGGGTTTAGCCCTTTATACAATTGAAACAATTGTTTATCAGCCAACTTTACTTTTCGGTGGACTGAAATTTTCTTGTGTTCCTGAAAGAAGAAAAGTGGATTTTGAAATGCAATGAAATGGCTAAAGAGGTGGAATTTTATGACACTTTCACTGCGTAGATTTTTTGGCTGTATAAACTCATGCCTGATGAGTGAAATATTTAGTCTTAGGTATGTTATTTACAAAAACAAACACTAATTTACAATCAATGTTGCAATAATCATATCGAGACTCAGTGCCATGCATAATTCTTCGTTGATGTATACAACTGCATAGATATTTTTACTTTAATGCATAAAGAAAGATACAAAAATATTCTATCTACACACGTCGACCTCATGATAACACTTCTTTTTTGTTCACTACAAATATAAGAATATGGTGAGCGTTTTCCTCAGGCTGGTTAATACAAAAAGTGGATACAACGGTGAAAATTTTATGACAAGCACAGATCACAAGCTAAATGGTGACGATTCATAGATACATGAATTCATTTTATACAAAGTGCTCTTTTAAAATGTCAAACGTTTAAACTACACTTTTTTTTTTTAAAAATCGTTTAATGTGTTATCTCATTTATTTTACTCAGACCTGAAAAATTCAATGTTAATTTTATTTGCCTAGAAAACCAGACATTCATGTATTTCTTCTGTCACCCGATCATAACTATTTATTGAAATAATTTGTATATTTTCTATGCCAAAACAACTCGTGTTGGTCCAATTTCAAATGCTCTCTATCAATAAAGCTCGGTATATTACATAATTACGTACATAAAAACACAACACTAAAGAAGTTCCTTTCTAGTCTAGAATATGAGTTGTCTCTTCAAACTGACAGATTTAGTAATATATTTAGCGTTGTACTCATCTTCCATCGTCATGATATATCTATATATATGATAGAACAAATAATTATTAAAGCCTTATGACGTTTAAATCCATACAGAATCAGAGACAAATAAAGATCAAACAAGTGTTACAAAATTCTAAAATGCTAAAAGAACAATTCTTGACATGATTGAGTGATTCCTTGTAAAATATAATTGATGTCATATTTTTAATTGTTTGTCTTGTGTGATGGCTAGTGAAATACATTGTAGAAGACATGACCTCAGGATTTGATAAAGATATAGAGCATTCTTAAATATCTAAGGATATTTCTCGAGGTGTTAATCTTGTATGAAGATATAAATGCTAGCTAGAAAATCAGTTTGAAAACATAAATCGATGTTTACTTGTATAACTTACTCAGAATTTGTGGTAGGCATTGTTTTCATATACATACTTAAATAGTGATCATATCAAGGTTTCCCAAAATTTAGACTGTTTAAACATACATTCGGAGGAGTTTACTTGGTTACTACAAACAACACACAATCGTCCTTTATTTATCTTCATTTTGAATGACAACATACAATTCACCTCTCTGTTTTTTGTTGTTTTTTTATTCATTTGAGTTACATTGTAGTAACCAACGCGAATTTCGTTTATCTTTGTTTATACAGATTATGCTTTCATTACATCTTTCTGATAGAAACTTTGTTTCAGAATTTTACAATTTTACTGTATTCGTTATACACAAATTCTGACAAACTTCAAAAATATGTTGAATTATAGAATATGTACCATCAGCAATGACATCATTTAAGAAGCAATATTTTTTTCACAATTCTTACTTAAACCGAAAAGCAACAAGTTGATAACGGACAATTTCCAATGCAGTTCTCTACGCTTTATATGTGCTGTAAATGAATTGCCGAATTGTGTCAAACACGGACGGAAAGATGTAGATTTTTCTTAAGACTGGTGAATCAACACCATAGATTAGAAAACGTAAGTTACACATACATTTTTAAGTTGTAAATGGTATGCATAGTTCCGTGTCAGTTATACATATATTATTTGTGACCAACGTTTGTATAATGTACATTAAACATTTTAAATAATGACTAACTCCCTACATGTCAAAAGGCTGTTGACATAATTTTCCAAATACCATCCGCAGATGTAAATAATTGCGCGCAGAATAGATAACGTTTAAGCATGACCAATGTCCAGGGATACATTTTGCCATCCATAATCAATCATCATCAAATGGTTTACTCGTCAAATGACCCTTCCTTCGTCGGCATTCGACCGTCCCTACCTTTTAAGATAATTATTGATACTGTTATTTTTTAGGAAGAAAATGAATGCTAATTTAATGCGCATATTCCATTTTATGTTTGATTGGAAAAAAAAACACTTTCATTTTGTTAACGAACGCTATTTTCAGGGATGTAATGGGTGGAAAATTCCTTTGTTTCATATGTAACTTCATATTCGACCCTAGTCGTTCCATTTTAAAACTGATTTGTAAAATGAAATGTTTTTATCTGTATTTCTGGTGTACGTTGGATACACTTATTGTCTAGTTATGCATTGTACCTTTTAAGATTGATTAAAACAACTGGCAAACAGCAATAGTTTTTTTTTCTGTAGACGTGATTGTTGGAATATTCTCAAATTCTCTATGTAGTTTGATCCTCTGTGTTACATTGTGACAGTTGTAGACCGATTCAGAACGATTAATGACTGAAAGGCGGACATCTTGAATTTGATACTAAACGATTGTTATCTGTACTTTTTCGAAAACTTCTGAAGAAAATCTATATCTAGTTTCATGCAAGCATTTACCTTGGTCCATAGTCATGCCATTTTGTTACTGGACATAAATGTGTGACAGAAGACCATCTTGGATTTGACAGTTAAACATGTCCGAAGAGGAATTTTCGAAAACCAGCAGAGGAGAAAAGAGGAGAGAAAAAGAAAAAAAGTCTTTAAAACATACTTTATATATGGATTATTTACGGAATAGTGTGAATGTGAATGATTATAAGTTATAGATGAAATATAATCAGACAAAATTATAGAAGTTGACATGTATGAGTTATCTTAACATTCTTTTATAAAGGCAAACGATGATAAGGCCATTTCGTTATATTACTTCAAGTAGGAATATGTCATGTTTTCGAAATTTTAACGGCAGACAACTCGGATATTGTACCTTCTGGAACAAAAATGATTTCCATGTACATGTACACTGTATATAAACATGCTTTTATAAAACTACAAAATACCGCCATTTTCAAATTATCTCAATCAAAACTCAGTAATGATGAAAAGGTGACGAAAATTGTGTAAAATGGAAACAGATATGCAGAATTCGTTTGCGATGGAGGGGAAGGCGTGATACTTATTATACGAATTATCTGTCACTGAATGTTGATAATATAGAATAAGATGAGTATAGAATCAATTGAACTTTTCAGTGATATAAAAATTTTAAAAGATGGATATCGTTTATAATACAATATTTTCTTCATATTGACAACAGATATACTACCAAGATTTGGGGTATATACAATCACAATCCATTATGAAACTGCTTTTGAAGAAAGGACTAAAACCCGAGGTGAGTACGCCAATCTACTTTCATTAATGTCTACGAATCTGTTTATGAAAATATCGCTGATTATGCTTCAGGAAAATGTAATGTTGTCCGGTATCATTACAGAATACATGCCTTAAGGGTATCGTGACTTACTGTTCTCTTGAAAACCCGTAATATACATTTCTAGGAACATCACAAATACGCCCATTGCACACTTACTTACCTTTCAGGGTTATTCGACCATTGTACACTTACTCATATGTCATGGTTCTACGTCAATTGTATACTTACTCACCTTCCATGGTTATACGACCATTATACACTGAATCACCTTTCATGGCTATCCGTCCATTGTACACTTACTAACCTTTCATGGATAAACATCCATTATACACTTAATCCCCTTTTGTAGACTATAGGACCATTGTACACTTACTCACCTTTCATGGTTATATGACCATTAAACTCTTATTAACCATTCATGGTTGTACGTCCATTGTACTCTCACTAACCGTTCATGATTATACGGCCCCTGTACATTTACTTTTGAAACGTAAAGTTACATTTATTTAATGTAGAATTAAACGTTTATGTTGATGTTTTTAAATCTTATACTTGTGGTATAATTCCAGTCTAGTAGAGGTTGTGGAGTTTTCTCCCCTCACCTAATATTTGTATTCATACACACTGGCAATGTTAATATGGTCAAATTCATGGGTAAATGAAACAGATCACATATAGTAGTTTCATTGAGTCTGATTTGTTTTATAGAAATTGAAATATAGTGGTAACAAACCTGTGGGAGATAATCAATCAGTTGCTGATGATTAAGTCAATAATACAAATGAAATTATGCCATATATTAGTTTTATTGAAGTCGACTTTGAAAATACATCAATGCCTCCAAGACACGCACAGGATATACCTAAGTTACTTGCGGGGTGAAAATGACCCCTACCTAAATATGGTGTCTTTATCATGAATTTTTGATAATTTCTTTTAGAATGTACATTTTACTCTAAACAAAACAAAATCACTATTTTTTCCTGCATGGATATTTTGTTCCTTCTCAAACACTTGGAATGTTTTGTCCAACTAACCAGACTTAATAATTTTCATTTTTTTTTTTTTTTTTTTTTCCTTTGTCATCTGGGAATATTATGTGATGATGTTATTTCTACATTTCTTCTGCTGATCTCTAGGCAGGAATCCACCAGTTACCAGAATCCTACAGGTAGACGTCAACGGTATGAGTCTGACAATGTGACTCTTTCGTTCTCTCATTTTGTATGCCTGGAAGTATGTAGTCATTCAGTGAATGATTGTTTGTAACTGCTTACTTATTACACCCTCGCAATCGTTTGAGTGTAACAAATACCTTCATTATGTAATACTCTGCACATCTATTACAAGTAAAAACCACTCAACCATGAGCATGGTCCGCTTTTTACAACGTAATGATTTTTATTCATAAAAAAACTTACCTTGCATTTCCGTTGTAAATCTGTAGTGTAACCGTAGCATTAGAGTATCATTACCGTAGCACCTACCATAAAATTATGAATTAGTTTTTATTTTCGCAATTGTGATCGATTTACCTGTTATTTCGATTTTATAGTGAAAGTAACACTTGGTGAAGATAAGCATGTTGATTGAAGGACAAAAATAACGATTGACGGATGCTTCCCTATGTAAAATATACATATAATACAACATTGACAAGTTTGTCTTTTACCAATTCTTGAAGTGATCATGTTTTGATTGAATGAGCTTGTGGTACTGATAAGAAGCGCAGTTCTTTCTAAGATATCCTGTTGCACAGGCATATTAATGCAAAATCCATAAGTTTCAAAACAATTACTTTATTTGGTTCGGGTCGCTTCAAATTGCGTATCCAATATACTCGACGAACACAAAACATCCTTCATAATAATCTTTAAATGTTTTTACAACGTGTATCATTTTATGATTTACTTTTATTTTTGAGTCGCAATTTCTATCAAAAGTAGAAAAATATCAATTACAATCGTTCTTTCGGTACTTGACATTCACTGAGAAATTGTCCCTGGGGAATTGGAACAAAGCTAAACCAGGATTCAATAAATCTTACAATGTCCGTTCTATGACAACACCAGAAAAAATGTGATGAGAAGTTGTAATAACTAGAATAATAATAAAAAAGCAAAAAGTGAACATGGATTGATTTTTAATCGATCGACCAATAAGAAATAATTTTCTCGGAAATGCGAATTGAAAGTCTGCTCTTAACAAAAACTGGTTAAATAATTACACTATTAGGAAAATTCTAATCATAAAAAAATACCTTCGTAATTCAATAGCTTGTTTGCGGACAAGACTCATGTTAACAAAAATCCATATGACCTTATTTTCCCCATCTCGTTTTATCGCCTGCCATAGATACTGCTTATATATCTTATAATGATATATTATATTCATATAAAACTTGACTTTTTAGTTTCTTCACGAAAATTTTTAAATGTAGTTACATGTATTATTGATGCCATCCATTTTGTAGAAAATCCTAATCTAATGAGGCAAGAAATCAGGTTTTGTATCACCTATATGTATATCAGAGTAATAACATTTTTTCATCAGTTAAGGGTCGATAAGACAACCAGGGAATTCACATGCTGTATCATTGGTTGATTAGGTTTATCTTAGGCTGTAAATTGCATCATTGCATGCTGTTTGTCATGAAGAATTGCGTCTTGAAATCACTAGTATTGAGTAAGGAAATCATTATGTGACAATGTATTACAAATATCCTAATTATATTTCAAAAATAAGAGCTAATAAATACATATGCGACTTTAAAATAGCATGTTTGGACTTTCCCCTTTATGTATGTCACTTAATAAATCATACTGTCATGCGTATTGTACCATCACCAGGGCAACCATGAATTATTTATAAACAATGCAGGTTTCATGTCATATACTATAGATTGAAGTATCCTAATTCAAACATTAATGTTATGTGGCGTTTTTATTTCGTACTTCTTTTTTATTATATTTTTTAACAACATTGATTCCTATGGAATGTCATGGTATTATGCATTTTGATACTTTACAGATGTTGCCAAAAAGACATAGAACATCACTACTTGCTGAAGTGGCTACGGAAGGTAATATTGAACCACAAGGACGCTTTAACTCGATTTTATATACTGATATTCTGCAATCTAAAACAAGTCACCAAGTTAAATGTAGACTGTTGCTGATCAAATTGAAGTTAAGTTTATAAAGAAAATCGTATAACTGGAAACATAATAGATATATGGCGTTAAAAGCTACACATGGAATATCATGTTACTACAGAATATATCTTAATTTCCATCACTGCTCTTTTCAACAAGTTTCAGTGTCCTGAAACAAACAATACCAACTTAAATTGATGTGTGTTTAGGTCATTTGGTGCGAAGGATTATTTAGCTCGCATCATGACTTTGTCTGCCTTTCGACCATTTTTTAAAATAAACTTCTGCTTCTAAACATCCAAGTTAGATATCCAAGAATATGCAAAATCGGAACTATTGGATAGTTGCTATTTGAAAACGCTGTAGTAAGATACGTTATGTAGAATGCTAATCAGTGTGATGGATATGTCACCACGTTTAGGAAGACAATCCACTAATAGAGATATGACGTTTCCTCAGATGTAAACAATAATTGCACCAGGAAATTTGAAAGGATGAAATAGTTGCTTACCGGTATTCGTTGTATAGAATTTAGCTTATGATTTCGTGGTGATGGCAGTACATGTATGTTGTTTTAATCAATATAGAAAAAACAATCATTTCAGAAAAAAGGGAGCAAGAACAATTTATAAAGGGACTGGAGGAACAAATGGAACGCCCATGCAATATAACACTGACAGTTGTTGGTCACCAAGGAGTCGGAAAGTCATGCTTGGTGAAACAACTTCAACGGGAAAGTATCCCAGCGGGCAGACCGGGCTCAACGGATACTGCTGAGTTTTATGCACACTACATGGGCTTCAACCCGAATACTGGATACAGGCAGAAATTGGACCAAAACGGTGAGATTGAATGTGGACGCCGGAGATTAAACAGGATCATTCATAGATATCAAAGGGGATTGGAAGATGGTGAAGCGCGAGGGATAGAAAGTAAACAAGACCGACATGATAATAAACAAACCACTGACCCTTCATCTACGGCCACGCCTGAGCCATCAGCTGCGTCGGCGTCTGTGCCTTCACCAGCGAAAATGTCAGGTAAATCACCATGTAACTCTCATTGCGAATGAAAAAGTTGTATTTTGAAACATATTGATAAATGTCTTGAATTTTTTTTTTTAATTAATGGGACAAGAACAAAATCCTGCATAAAGGTACGTGGAGTTATTTATGAAATAATGTAATATGACATAGATAATAATAATAGATTTTATTATTTAACTTCTTTTTTTTCCGTTTTGAAAGTCCTGTTGAAATTCTACGTGTTTTTACAGGCATGACACATAATGAAATGTCGAACAAGCAGGAAAATTGAATATGAAATATGCATAAACTTGTATATAACTGACGGCCTATCCAAATCGCCCTGCGTAATGAAACAAATAGATCAAGATCAATGCACAGTGGCTACAATCATTCACAAATGAAAATATTATTTTATAAATACTTATTCAGTTACAAGCAGTTGCAAGTGGTTGCAGTGATGTAATGATATACATTAACACTATACAGGTTGGGACGTTTTTACTTCGACTTTGTTACAGTTTGAACTCATGGTGTAAAGTTAATGAGCCTTACTTTCCTTTGATATTAAGATTACACAATAACGGAAGAATAACATTGTTACCACTTACTTTGGAAAAATACGATTTGCAAAATTAAACGTGTATTTATGTGACGTAGTATAAGAACAAAGTATCAAACAGCTGAAACTGGTCCGTAATATCTCTACCAAACCACTTCACTTTCAAAAACATTAGTTCGTATTTTTTTCATAGTGAGTCGTAACGTAGCAATTGCATGAACTATATCAAACAATCGAGCTTTTTACTCACACTATAGTAAATAACATATTCCAGTACACACATGAAACCCTTCTAAAATGACTTATAGTAATTTATATAGGAGTGAGTTATGTTTGATAAAATAATTGATGTTAAAAACCAGTATGTAATTTATAATACAGTCTATGATATCGCAGCGGCGTGTTTGCTTGATACAAAATGTTTTGATAATGTTAAAAAAGTGTATGGACACGATCATTTAAAGTTATCAACTTTCCTTCAAGTTTGATTAATATTGATCATAAAGCATTTTCCAAAAAATCAGACCAAAGCTATTTTAAACCACCTATATCTCCTTATTATTTACTTTAATTTTGTAAACGTTAAGAAGAAGACTATCCTTAGTTACTGACTGTGTTCATGAGCGTGTTATTATCTATATATTTGTGTAAGCATTAAAAAAAAGAATACATATAATTGTCAATACACATAGTACATGTCGACACCTGCCAACAATATTCATGATACTAACGAATAGGTAAGGGATTTTAAATTAAACCTGTTGCATTTATCAATAGAGTTATATCCCCTGATTAACCGACAACTGGTACCTTAAGTCATTAAGTGACTATACATCTACTCGGAATGTATTCAATCTGAGATAATGGATTCTTGAATACTGTTAAAAAAAAAAACAAAAAAACATAATTCTTGGACTGATGTCAGGTCAGTTAAATTTGAATGAAAATCATAACGTTTCAATGTATCCACTGAACCATCCAGTGGTTTATGTGTGTCAGTAGATGACAACGAAACTTATTTCGCGAAGCGCCAATTGCCGGAATAAGCAGATTGTTACTTATATGTATAAGACGCCTTCGAACCAAATACGATCAACTCAGTTTCTATGTGTACTTTATGAAATATTGATAAGAAAACAAAATATATGTGTCTCATCGGATGCTTATATATTTCTACATGCTACTGACTTGAAAATGCTGTGTTAATGCAGTGTTATCATAACGCCGATTAATCAGTACCATATATTTAGCTCCGTATCTATCTTGTAGAGTTTCAAACTCGGAATCCCAGTCTTTCTCTGGAACAGAAAGCGGTTATAGAGGAGGTAATGCGCCCAGAGGAAAAGGAAACAGGGGAAGTGAAGGGATTCGTCACCATATATGATTTCGGCGGTGAGAAGGTGTTCTACAACACCCACCATTGCTTTCTGTCAAGCAACATGGTTTTTATTTTGGTGTTTGACGTAGCCATGTGTTTGGACCCACACAAATCAAAAGAGGGTTACGGTAATTTCATATTACAAATATTTATTCTTTCCATTAAAAAATGCTTTCATCTTGTACACATTTCAATTACTTCAATATCATTTGAATATATACCGTTATAAAGGTGTGTCTACGGATTGGAAGGAATTTGCTTACCCCCACGAGTGTACACACTTACTTCAAATAGAAACCAATGGCAAGTCTGCTAATTCTACATCAGCTGTCCACGTCGATTATTTTTCTTTCTGCTAGGAAACTGTGATAGCCATCAGCCATTATGTATGATAAATGCTATGATTCCGGTTACCTGAACGTGGATTTACAATATATTGTAGACAACAACAGAACTTCCATTCTAAATGATTCTTACATTTCCCAGTTGATGCGGTAGTAAATGGTAGATTTTCAATATCAATATTTTCACCATTACTAGATAAACACGCAACACGGTGCTGTGAGAAATTACGCGGAAGATTTAATGTCATCATAATACTGATACTTTTTTCAACCGGAATAAAAATAAAAAATAAATAAGAAAAAAAAAAAATAAATAAAACTTCCTCGTGTGTATTTTAAAGATTGAATATCCATCCATCAAGAACGACATCGTTTTTCAGTTTTTGATAAAACTAAAATGTATTAACTTTCATTATTGTTACAAACAACTATTTCTTTATATTGTTCAACCAATTCATAATCGTGAATGTTGTGTTTTTTATTAACAGAAATAACCGAGTTTTGGCTGATGTCGATTGCTACGTATGCTGTTGACAAGGATTCGCGAGGAAACGGAACCCCACCCATCATCCTCGTGGGATCACACATGGACCGTGTTTCTGATGACGTAATGATTTTATATCGATCAGCTATCTTCTGATATGATATCACGAGTGTCACTGTATCAAAAAGGAGGATATGATAATTAAAAGACTAAAATAATTCAAATTCAAATTTAATTGGATCCTGAATATTTAGTTTTTTTTCCAGATATAAAAATATCTCATTTCATATAATAAAAACTCAAGTAAATGTACTAAATACCTTTTGCTATATACTATTATTTGTCTGCCAAACACACCTTTGGGTAGCCCACATATACAAAATCTATAACAACTTCATATTCAGTTACCCCTTGCCAACCTGATGACTTCCTCTTCATGTCATCCCTTGGCAGAAGTACGTATGTATAAAAATGTATTATTGGCTTATTTCCATGGAAATATGTTACACAAGTATGTCAGTTACCTGTGTACACCTAAGTAAAAAGGGAGTCGTGATGGTTTCCTTATTGAACCAAGATGTTAAATATGCAGAACAAATGGAATATCATGATTAATTCATATTTTCAGACAAAATCTACGAAATAATCTAGGGAAAAATATTTCAGTTTCCGATATAATTTAGCTTCTCGTATATTTCTTAGTACTGTAAATCAAATCAAATCAAATGTGGTACTGACGGTATTTTTTTATTTTTATTTTAAATGCCGAACTATCATAAGGAATGTACAATATCGCCATTTTGTCATGATGATAGATATATTTATCATCAACTGCAAGAAACAAAAACAAAAATCCTAACAAATAATCACGCAAAGCAGACATGGTCACATTTAGCATGAGTTTGACTTATGCTTATCATAGTAAGACATTGATAATCGAATTCTTTACACATAATATGTCGGTAATAGACGGGCCAATTTTAAGCGGTTTTCAACTCTTTTGATTTTCGGTCAAAGAATAGCAAATATCATTAGTTTCTTTTTTCTGCGTTACCTGTCTGGAAATAGTTTGGTGTTGCAATATGAATATTTGCTTTGTATGTAGGTTTTTTTTTTAATTTAACCATACTTAAAAACTAACGTATCATTTTATCATAGAAAGAAGAACAGAACAAAGCGTTTCTCACGGTGATAAACAAATTGAGAGGGAAGCCCGAAATCCGTCATATTATGGAAAAACATGTACAGGAAATGTTTCATATTGCAAACCTGAACGACGATTCTCAGAATAAAGAGATCTACGATCTGATTTGGAAAACGCTGATGAAAGTGGCACCACTGCAATCTCGTTGGGAATTACCGGTGCCGGCAAGATGGCTGGCACTCGAACATGCTTTGGTAAGGTGTAAGAAGGCAGGAAGTATAGTCCTGACATATGAGGAGTTGATGGATGTAAACAAGAACCTTGCAGTGCCAATACCAACACACGCTATCATGGACTTTTTGAAGTAGGTAGTCCATTTCAAAACTGTACAGGTTATTAATCGAAGGCGGCATTCATGGATTTCTATTAATTTCGGGAAAACCAGACGTTCTTCAATGTGATAATCCGACAGAGATCACATTATTTTCGTAGAGAACTGATTCGTTCACACGTTTTATAACGCGATTTGATTTTTCCCTGTCTTACTTTACATCCTTCTTTAATACGTGCAAGTATTTTTTTCTGGAAAAGCGACCCAATGGGAAAAGCAAATATCATTATGATAGCTCACGTTTAATCAGAGGCTGGTCAAAATTATGACCACTTCTCATTCTTCAGCAATTATCATACAGTTTAATTTGACTGCATAGTTTAGATAATAGTTAAACCAAATAATGCAAGGATACCAATGAGTATTTATATATTTTTTTTTTTTTGGGGGGGGGGGGGTAGATATTGTTCCCTCGCGTGCAATTCTGTTACACACATTGCATTCGTTATAATATATTTATGCAAAATAAATGGCTAGTTGCTTCAGTTATAATTAGTAAGGATAATCAGAATGCGGCAAGTCATTTCTACAAATCATTGGGTATATATCTGTAGACAATGTTGTTACTGCGAAGTAATCCTGTCATATTTATAGGCGATTCGAGTAAGCCGTGCTGTCTGTGCAATTTGACATTATTCTTGATTAGGTCCGATAAGGTTCGCATTAAATGTTCCTTCGCATGGGAATACAGTTCAAAAGCTGAACAAATACAAGAGCAGATTTACAATTAACCCTCGATGAACTTTTTCAATACAGTTTGCATTTTTTACGTATAACTTAAAAGTAAGGATGTATCTTTAAGTAATTCAGAGATAAAATCGAACAAATCAGTGCACGTTCTAAAATGCAAGTGCTTCCGTGACTTCTGGATATAGCAAATACATTATGGGTATATTCCTTAATTCTTCAATTTCAGTTAACGGAAACTTAAATTGCTTTAAAGGAACAGTAAATAAAAACGATATAAACTTTTATTGAGTAATACCAAAAGAATTTAGTTAATTTTAGACTGTGAAAGTGGTCCTGTGACTTCAGGTTCCGTAAAACCGTATGGATTTTAGAATGCAATCTGATTTAACTTGACATCAGATCCTAATTCTGAATAGTCAATCTAGAATACTATATATGCTTATTTATTACCATCTTTGATATATCTGTAATTAATATATACATTTATAAATTCAGCTTTCAAAGATAAACGTTTTTCCAGATATCTGAAACTTGACGGATGTTTCCTCTGCTTTGATCTCCATACCAAGAGACCATTCATTGTTCTCCAACCACAGTGGATAATCGACGCATTCAAAGCCATTATCACGGCCCCGACATTCGCAGCGAATCTACCGATCAGTATGAGACTTCAATGGGAGGACTATGAAAAATCTGGTCTTCTTAAATTGAGCTTCATCAAACAACTTTGGGCAGAGAAATTTCATGAAAACGAAGACAAACTCTACATCGCAATGGAAACTATTTGTCTTCTTGCCAAACCATTAACAGATGTCCCGAATGATGATGTTGACTACTTCATTGTACCTAGCATGCTCCAACCAGCCACTCCCGAGAAAATCATACCGGTTCTCGAAGAACCCAACACTGTCAGCACCGTCACTCTTTGTCTAAAATTTGACAATCAATTCATCCCTCCGGCAGTGTGGGATAAATTCCTTGCGGCTTGCATACACAGGTTTCAGCGACTGAATGAACCCGGTCACGCTGACTTAAACGTTTTACAGCGTGGGTTTGCCTGTTTGTCCATGAATTTCATGTGGAACATGGTCATCCACTGTCACAGAAACGCTATGAAAATCAAACTATTCAAGAGGGCTACAACTAATGTACAGCCAGCAGGAGCTGGTGTCATTATTGTAGGCATTCTAGAATATCTTCTCCAACAAGTCCTTGAATCCAGCCACCAAGATCACCTAAGATACCAATTTTACCTCCATGATAACCATCTTTTCACGCCTGATGACAAAATGGCCAGAGTAGAGGATCTTAGACTGACGACTCAGTTACCATGTTACGGTTCAAAAGGACATGGATTTATAGAAAGAGAGGATATCCTTGACTGGTTTAAACACTCAACTCTAGAGGTACGTGATTATTGTACAATTTGCAGTTCAATGTAATGACCCGTTCATTTATTACTTTTAATGTTTTACTTTAGTGTTTTGATGTATTTGACAAACCGTTCGTTCAAAACAATTACGATCAAATGACAAAAAGAAAATGCAAGAACAGTCCGGAGGGTCATTTTGTCTTCCGCAAGACAAGATGCCAAAAACACATGATCATACCTATGATATATGCCTCAATGTAAGTGCATTGCTTGCAGTAAATTATACATACATCGTATTTATTTATCTTTTTTAGCCGGAAAAACAGATTCCAAGTGGCAGTTGTGGTAAGTGTATATTCTTACACATGTTGCTACATTTTTAGCTTAAAATTAAAACTCTAATGTATTTTTCAACTCATTGTCTTAGATTTTAGCAATTTCATATTTCAAAAAGAGCAAGCAGTTTGCTTGATACAATATTTTCTGCGATGAAATGCTGTATTCCGAATGCTTTTTCCCTAATTTCCAAAGTTTACGAAAATGTTTTTTCAGTAAAGATAAATGACTTAGATGATAGGAAGCCGACCATCAAAGAAATTGGTAGAGTCTCTAAATACATTGGAAAATCCTACCAAACGTTCTTTGTCGGGCTTGGCTGTCCTATTGAGCTATTGGAGCAGGAGATGGAAGAGCATCGCCACCTCACGTTTAGATCTTGTCTGACGAAGATCTTCCTTCAACTACGCAACATGAAGGTAGACATTAGTTTCGGAAATTTAGCCGAGGCTATGTCAAAAAATGGAATGAATCCTTCACAGCTTCAACATGTCCTTGACGATAACAGAAATAAAGAGTTTAAAGGTATCAAAGATACGTCAACTATTATGTTGGGTTATTCCCATTATCCCGGTGTCAATATTGTTTATCCTTTTCGTTTCACTCAGAATATTTTGTAATAAAATAAATAATCTTTAAGTCCTCAAACGTTGATGTAAGTACATGTAATAAATCCCCAAGTGTTTATATAATTGCATGTAATTCATCATCAATGTTTTATATAATTACATGTAATATCTGCCTAAGTGAGGTATAATTGCATATGTGATATGTTGGCTTAACCATGTTGACCTTACAGGTTTTTTCCTTCCTGTAGCATGATGAATTTGCATATAACTACCTTTGGAAGCATTTTAAAATAAAATGTAACGGGAAGAAAACAAGACCAGGTTGCCGGAAAGGCTTAGAATCTTGCTCGATCGTCTTATGTCAATTTTGAAGTAAATTTGCGTTCCCATATTAGACCCAAGCTGTTAATAACAAACCAAACTAACTACTAAAGGGCATCAAACACGCCTATCTCCATAATGCAAAAGTAGACAGATTTTTCCTCATGCGATCAGTGTGAAGACCATACAATTTTTCCTTGACGGTAATAATACACTTGAATATCTTTTATCTAATTTCATTTTATTTTCAGATGAAACTTTGTCGAGGAGCTCCCTGCAAAAATCTCTGACAGGCACTGATGTTGATCTCATTGAAAATCATTCGAATTTCAAACCGTACTTTAACTTTTTTCTTGAAATGGGATTTTCTCCGAAGTCTATCGACGAGTTCGATTACCATTACAGAAACAAGAAACATCGTGAGAAGATCAAAGCCATGCTGATGGCTTTGATCGATGAAATCCAGCCCCGCCCGAATTGGAACACACTCCTTTTGGCGATGGAAGAATGCAATATGGACACAGAATCTCTGCTCGAAGCCTTGAAGTCAAAATAGGGTTGTTTCGGCTTCTCATCGAATGACAAATGTCTTTTCAATAGACTCAAATTAGTTTCGGTTGGACGTGGATGCTATTTAGCTTGTTTATTTTTCTCTTTCGACTAACCATCTCAAGATGACACTAAATACCTAGATATTTTATGACTGTACCTAGACAACCTACATTACTCCTGGATTCCATCTCCCTTTCACGGGTTTGAAAGTCTGCCCATTTGTCATGAATCCATTAGTAGGTGTTATATTCCAGGACAGTGCTTTTGCAGATCGAATGCGTTTTCAGTCTAATAATATAAAGAGGATGTTTACTGTTTCATAACAGTCATAAGGGTATTTGACAGGGCATGACAGGGATATTTACTGCATTATTTAGTGTTATTTATGATTATCTGTAACTAGTATGTCTAAAATCTTATAATATTGATGTATATAAGGATATTCTCCTAGGATGTTTACAGTGTCAAAACACTGATATATATAAGGATATTAACCTAGGATGTTAACAGTGTTAAAACACTTCTGTATATAAGGATATTCACCTAGGATATTTACAGTGTTAAAACGTTTATGTATATATGGATATTAACCTCGGATGTTTACAGTGTTAAAACACGTATGTATATAAGGATATTAACCTAGGATGTTTACAGTGTTAATACACTAATGTATATATGGGTATTTACTAGGATGTTAATAGTGTTATAACACTGATGTATATAAGGATATCTAACTAAGATTAACACAAAACATGTTTCAATTGATCTTAATGGCGTATAGGGGTCGGCATGGATAACTGTGCCAGTCGCGAAAAATCAACGTTGACAGGATTTCGGATGTAAGATGGGATAAATAAGATATCATTCATACTGGTAACGAATGACAGTCGGGAACAATCAACATTTAAGTAATGGATTACTAATCACATTCTGATTAATCAATATTAACAGGGTAACTACCTTAACTCGATTACTGGTGACAGTCCGGCTAAAACCACCTTAACTGGATTACTGATGAAAGTCAGAATAAAACCACCTTAACTCAATTACTGATGACTGGATATAACCGCCTTAACTCGATTACTGATGACAGAAAGGATAAAACCACCTTAACTGGATTACTGATGACAGTCAGGATAAAATGACTTTAACTCGATTACTGATGACAGTCAGGATATAACCGCTGGATTACTGATAACAGTCGGGCTAAAACTACCTTAACTCGATTACTGATGACAGTCAGGCTAAAACCACCTTAACTGGATTACTGATGACAGTCAGGCTAAAACTACCTTAACTCGATTACTGATGACAGTCAGGATAAAACCACCTTAACTGGATTACTGATGAAAGTCGGGCTAAAATGGCCTTAACTGGATTACCGATGATAGTGAGGCTAAAACTACGTTAACTGGATTACCGATGATAGTGAGGCTAAAACTACGTTAACTGGATTACCGATGATAGTGAGGCTAAAACTACCTTAACTGGATTACCGATGATAGTGAGGCTAAAACATCCTGAACTGGATTACTGATGACACTCAGGCTAAAATCACCTTAACTGGATTACTGGTGACAGTGAGAATAAATCAGCTTTTCTTATTGGGATTACCGAGGACATGAAGTTCAAATTAAGAAGATTTATAGAGTACAATTATGATGAATTAGTTTAAATTTAAATTAATTACTGATGACCGCCAAGATGCTTGGAATTCAGCAGAGTACTGGGGTACCACTGAATCAGTGAGTTTTAAATTGATTACTGATTAGAGTCAGGATAATTGGAATTCAACATGTAACTGTCAAAACACCGGTTCTGTTAGCTTACACTGAATTGCTGATGATAGTTAGGATACGTGAAATTCAACAGATTACGGAGAAAACGCTGAATTCGTGAATGAAAACGAGATCTCGGACCGGGTACATGATCTTAAACCAGATTACTGACGATAATCAAAATGCATGAAATTCAAAGACTTAATATAGAAACTCGGGATCATGGAACAGTTACAAGAGTACCGGTAACAGTCCGTCGACATAAGCATTACCTGCAATAAAGATCACATTCAGGGAATCGGAGCATTAACTGATATAATGATCATATTCAAGGGGCGTGGACTGGATTACTGGTGACAGACAGGATACATTGGTGTCAAGCAGACAATTGAGGAAACAACGTATACGTAAATGACATGACATTTAAACAGCATTCAAAGGAGACTCCGAATGTTAATGACAGTCCAGAGATATGTTCTTTAACTGGAATACTGATTACGGCCCGGGATTATAAACTTAAATTAAGAAACTGATGACCGTCCAGAGTATCGAATATTTCAATAAATAAATGATTGATGTTTGAAATGATAAACATCTAATTGAATCATTGATGACAGTCCGGATTAATGAGCATTCCAATTTAGAAATTATGACAGTCTGAATTAATGAAGGTTCCAATGGACCATTGATGACCGTTTAGATCAATGACGGATTACTGATGACAGTCCGGATAAATATCAGTTCAATTGATTACGGATGATAGTCAGGGTTAATAAACATTTCGATAGATCGCTGATGGCAGTCCGGATAAATATCAGTTCAATTGATTACTGATGACAGTCCGGATAAATATCAGTTCAATTGATTATTGATGACAGTCCGGATAAATAACAGTTCAATTGATTACGGATGACAGTCAGGGTTAATAAACATTTCGATAGATCGCTGATGGCAGTCCGGATAAACAAATACTTCAATACATTACTAATAACAGTCCGGATTTATAAACATTTTAATGAATCATTGATGGCAGTCAGAATTATTTAACATTTCACTGAATCACTGATGATCGAATTAGTTTAAATTTTAATTGATCACAGATGATATTTTGAATCAAGAAATATTTCAGTGGATTACTGAATGAAAACTTCGAATGATTACGGGTGACAGTCAGGGTTAATAACCATTTCAATAGATCACTGACGACAGTCCGGATAAACGAATACTTCAATGGATTACTGATGACGGTCCGGAGTAACAAACATTTTAATAAATCACTGATAACTGCCCGGATTAACTAACATTTCATTGAATCATTGATGACACGTCGAATTAGGGAATATTTCAATGATGGATTACTGATCACAGGCCGGTTTAATGAACATTTCAATAGATAACTGATGGCAATCCAAATAAATAAACAGTTCAATAGATCATTTACGACAATCCGAATGAAGAAATATTTCAATGGGTTACTGATGACAGTTCGGATTTATAAACACTTTGATGGATCACTGATGACTATCGGCATTAATGAACATTTCACTGGAATAATGATGTTAGTCCAAATCAATGATATAAACTGTATCATTGATAATAGTGTGGATGCTTGATATGTAACTTGGTTTACCAATGAGGGTCTCGATAAATGAAAATAATAATAATTACTGATGATTGTCAGGGTACATGACCTTGAAACACATAAGTAAGCGGAGATCGACGCAGTCCGGATAAATGAAGTTGATCAAAGTCAGAATACAACTGATTAAAATCCGATTCAATGAATATTAAACATATCACTAAAATAGATGACTGGAAATATAAAATTCAACTGTACTACTGATTACAGCACATTTAAATGAATTCTACTTGGAATACTGAAGACAGTCTGGAGATTTAACTATATCACTGATGATAGATTGAATATATGAACTTATTAAATCTAAATAGATCACTGAATACAATCTATATAAATAGACTCCAACCAAATTACGGATGACTGTCAAGATAAGTCCATTTGTAGTTATGGCAATCTGGGTCTATTGAGAAAAGTTCAGATACATAGATTTTTACTGGATTTGTGCGGGAATTCCGGATAGATGAACTGTTAATTGATGTCAATCTGGTTTGATAGAAGAGATTACAGTATTTATTGATGCGTTCTATTGGGTCAGTGTTATTGAGTTAATGTCAGTTCGTGCAAATGGATATGTAGATTAGTTGCTAATCAAAATCCGGACCAATGAACTTGTACCGTGTTACCGATGACCGTCTGTGTTAAAGAGTTTATATTGATAAGAGATGACAATCCGGACACATGAGCTGTATTTGTTTACCGATGATATTCTGTATATGCTTTATATTTACTGAAGATAGTTTACATTTAATTTCTGATGACGTAGAAGATATGGAGATTGTACTTACAGTCCCAATAAATGAGTTGGCGAATGGTCACTGATGACATTAAATTTTAATAATTTTAACATGGTTACTACTGAAAAATCCGGATTAATGAATTTGTGTTGAATGATTATTGATAGTCTGGGTTATTGAATTTGTTTGGTTGCAGGTGGCAGTCTATGTCCGTTCGTTGTAACTAATATTTATGGGAGCACGTATGCGTGAGTCGGTTGTGTTCTTGATGACAGGTAAATGAATCAATATTCAAACATTAGCAAAAAGGATCAATGAGTCACTGATGACAATCTGAATGTATATCGTTTTACTGTGTAGCAAAATACATTCTAATTATGCAATGCTTACCTTTGTTCGGATTACTGAGTTTGCACTTGGTCACCGCTGACATTCCGGACACATTGATTTATTCAATGTTAATGATGACAGTTCATTGTTTTGCAGGTGAATTTAGGATAATTGAGTTTGGTTTAGGTTAATGACTGCAGTACGGTTTAATTGTTTTGTAAGATGATAATGATGAAAGTCCAGATAGCGAGTTCTGTTTGATTACTTACCGTCCAAATAAAGTTGCCTTCTGATGGTATTCAGATTACAGTAGTGTTTTTGTACTGGGTTACTGGTCATGTTGCTCGATTAGTCGGTTTGAATTTGGCTACTGATGACAGTCCGGATAAACGAGCACGTTCTAGGATAACGATGACAGATTTAGTAGCCTGTACTAGATGGTAGGTTATTGAGGATTTTCCTGATAACAATTTGATCTCTGATGATTCACTAATTAAAGACAGAATAAATTAATGTCCGCTCC